GAACCTGTGGCCTTGGTGTTATCAGCACCGCACTCTCCCGAGTGAGCCACAGGCCGGTCCCTACAAGGCTGAGTTCTAACCAACTGAGCCAACCAGCCAGCCCACCAATTTCTAACCACTTACCTCCTCCCCATCTTAGGCAACGAGCCAGATCATTTCCAGTGCCCAGGGGCAACACAGCAACAGGAGGCACAAAAGGCAAGCTGGCTTTGTCTGGGGAGGCAGGTGAAGAGAAGGATGGAGGGAGGCAGGTCTGGAAGACCACTGCCCCAGTGTCTTGCCCAGGGCTTCTCCCTGCACTGACCAATTGCCTCTAGAATCCAGCCTACTGTGCCATCTCCACCACACACCAAAATCCGACTATCAGGAACATCTTTGAAGAATTTGAGCCTGCGACAAAAGAAGAGAGAGAAGATGAAGAAGGATGACAAGACCGAGGCTACATAACTCCTAGACAGGCAGATTACTTCTTGTCTCTCATTCCTATGACTCTCTTCACCTTTTTTTTTTTTTTTTTTTTTAAAAAAAGATGACCGGTAAGGGAAGGGGATCTTAACCCTTGACTTGGTGTTGTCAGCACCACGCTCAGCCAGTGAGCGACCCGGCCATCCCTATATGGGGTCCGAACCCATGGCCTTGGTGTTATTAGCACCGCACTCTACCGAGTGAGCCACGGGCCGGCCCCAACTCTCTTCACCTTTGTCAAAAGACTTGGGTCAGGGCCGGCCCGTGGCTCACTCGGGAGAGTGCGGTGCTGATAACACCAAGGCCTCGGGTTCGGATCCCACATAGGGATGGCCGGTTCGCCCACTGGCTGAGTGTGGTGCTGACAACACCAAGTCAAGGGTTAAGATCCCCTTACCAGTCATCTTTAGGAAAAAAAAAAAAAAAAAAAAAAGACTTGGGTCAAAAGGGCAGAGAAGAGGACAGAGGAGAAAGTTATAGCCACTCTTCAATGGTTAAGGAAAAATTGGTATCTTCATCCTTTGAGAGCAGGACAAAGATGGGTCAGAGAGCTCAGAGGATGGCATAACCAGTGACCTTAGGGAGAGAAGCCCTCTGAATTCTCGCCTCTTGGGGTCATATAGCCTTCCTCTCCCAACATGCATAGATACACAGACACAGAAAAACACTGTGATACTGCCCCTAACCTAAACTCACCCTGGCTCAGGAGCATCCTTTTGGAGGTTAAACACTTGTCGAGGGTTTAGTATATACTGGAATTTCCAAAGCACCCTGTGTGAAGGAAAAAGGAAAGCTCATGGTGGGGGTGAGGGGAGGGTTATATTCTGTATCCCACCCTCTTGAAGTTCTTCCTCCTTGAGGCATGCCTCCTCCATATACACACATTCCCTTCCTCCCTCCAAGATCTGTAGGCCCTCCGTCTCCATCTTAGAAGACCCAGTATCTCTCTCCTCACCTCTGCCCCTGCTTCCCGCCACTCTTAGGATTGACGAAGACTAGAAGTGGGTGGGTGTTAGGAACAGGGTCAATCTGCATTTTGGGAAGAAAATAAGAATAAGGAAAGCAGATTTTTGTCAGGGTTAAGATGGGCCCTGGAGCCAGAGGCAGAGGGCCGGCATTCCATCAAGATGCTTTCCCCTCCCTCCACTTTTCACTGCCCTCCCCTACCAGGATGGAGCTTCTAAAGATCAGGCACCACCCCCAGGCTTTCCCACTTCATTTCCTCCCTTGAGGGCTCCAGTGAAGAATCAGCTACCATCATGAAGCCCAAGCCCCTCAGCCCTGTACCCGCAGAGCCTCAGAGGTGCTCAAATTTAAATCATCCATGGTCTTCTGATTTGATTTGCTAGTTTTACGATCCTGTCCAGAGGCCTGGAAGGAGAACAAAACAGAGGGAAGGAAAACTGGATTGTGTGCAAATCCCCAAACACGAGTCTAACCTGAATCCTAAAAGTATAGGCTCCCTGTTCTAAAAGTCATTCTGTGTGTCTGTCGGTGTGTGTGGGGGGGAAATCAGAAAGGCACTCCTGTCCCCTCCCAGCTGCTGCCTGAGGGTCTCACCAGGACGCTGGGATAGATTGAAGACGGAGGCAGGATGTGATCACGGAGCAGCCCACAGTCGCACTCATGGCCCATGGCTTTCAAGCAGTCATCGTGGATCTGAAAGACAAGGTGAACACAGAGAGATCATGTAGGTGACCCTGCCTCAACGTGGAGGTCTGGACTGGAAAGAGAGCTGTTGGGAACAGGGGCAATTGTGGCTGTAAGGGAGACCTGGCCAGGGAGAAAGGGCCCTCACGCATAGCCTGGAGGGAAAACTCCTGAACTGACCTCTAGGTGGCACCATACACAATGCAACCCGGTTAGGCTGTGGTAGGTCCGGATTTTTTTCTGACAGCGATCGCAGCGGCCGGACTCACAGCCTCCTCGAACCCACACATGTGATTGAACCTTAGGGAGAAAGGCAGTCCCATGTCTGGGAGGGTCTCGGCAGTGACTGGGGGAAGGAGGGGCTGAAGGCAGCAATGGGCCAAGGGTCAGGGCCAGGGCGCGGGTGGTGATGGGGTGGGGGAGTGTGAGGTCACTCACACCAATGTCCTTCCGAGACTTGGCATAGGTGCTGACTTCACAAGGCATGGCCTTCATGGCACACTGGTCGTGAACAGTGTACTTACAGACTGAGGGGAGAGGGAAGGTCAGAGCCTTAGCTGCAGCTCCTCCCCCTATTTCCTCCTTACCTGGGGGCGAGGCAGGATCACTTACTGGAGCAAGACATATAAACCCTTGCTGTGACGGTGTGGCAGAGGATTAAAGTTTGGGGTACGGGCTCAACTCCAAGAACTGTGTCTTTTCCTCACTCTTCCTCCTAAAAGGGCAACTGCTGCCCCATGTCTGTCCCCACATCATCCACGTGCCAGGCAGGAACTGAGTTGGATGATGCATGGGACACCCAGATATAACAAAAATAATAATAAATAATATTTATTGCATTTTTAAGTATGTGCACACACCGTGTGAAGCACTTTTCTTGCATCAACTTATTTAATGCCCACAATTACCTCATTTTCAGTTGAGGAAACTAAGGCATAAGGAAGTTATGTGGCTTTCCCCCTGTTACATAACTAGTCAGTGGCAGAGCCCAGGATTCAAACCCAGGTCTCCCTAAGTTCAGAACGCCAGGCTCCCACAGACAGCTGGGCTGTCCCTCTTCTCCCACACTCCCAGGTCCCCTCACTCACGGTTACAGCTTAGCCCCTGTTTGCCAAGACCAATGCTTGACTCGCACAGGTTGCAGTAGACTGGTCTGGGGAACCTCTTGGGTCTCCACATGTGCTGCCCATCATCCTTCAGAGTCTGGAGGGCACAGCAGATACTAGGGAGGGTCTAAGCCCTTAGAAGACCAACCTCTGGTGAGCACAACCCAAGGCAGCTATCTTACTCAAACTCACAAGTCTCTCCTACTTACCATTTCCAGGCCCAACAGCACTAGCAGTGGTACGGTGGTGGCCCCAGCCCGGACCCACTCAGCTAGGGAGACAGAGCCGCTGCCATCATAGTCAATTTCTTTCATCATCTCCTGAAGAATCTGATCAGAGAGTGGGGAGGGACTTTTGGTATGAGTGGTCTCAAAACCTCTCCACGTCTCTTAGGGTACCCAGCCCAGCTATCCTAGCTGAGGGGACCAGGCTGCCTGTCAGAGACATGGTAAGGCAGATGCAGGAGTCACCAGGGAAGAATGTGCAAGAAGGGAAAAAATGAAGGAAGGACTACCTACCGGCTTCAGCTCAGATACATCCCAATCCATGTATTCAGCCACTCGCATCATTTGTAGGATGATTTTGTCCACTTCCTGGGGCAAAGAGGATAAGAGCCACAGCCATATTCACTCACTACCACCATCCAAACTCTTCTCCAGAAATCAGGGTTCCCGGATTTCACCCCCAGACCCACCTCTAACTCTCAGGTGCCTCTGCCAAGTAAATGAATGTGTTTGCATCTTTGCAAGGCAGCCCCCAATTCATGTTTCCAACCTTCTCTTTTAGAGGTCAAGAGTTTGGCACCTACTCCCAAATTTAGCCCTAAAGGACTCAACCTCTCCCTCTAGCGTCCTCTGCTTCTTAAGACCCTGGAAGAGTTGGGGTAGGAGGTCACAGACAAACAGATTCATACTCCCTTGCCCAGCACACAGGTTCCCCAACTCACTGAGCTGTCGAGGATCCCATTTCTGTCCGTGTCGTACAGCTTGAAGGTGACTGTGGGGTGTTTTAGGGGGGCCAGGGTCAGTTTGTGAGTGATACCCAAAGAATTCATACCAGAATACAGGAGAAACAAAGATAGGGAAAGAGCTTTTGGGTGAAGAGCCTAGAGCTTGGGATGGGACCAAGAAAGGAAACAAAAAGGGAGGGAAACAGGCATGGATTCCACCCTCGGTGAATCTGATAGGGAAGACAGCACATATTCTCACATCCCAAGAACGTCCCACGCCACCTACATGAGAATGTACAAGACAGGGGAACTGGGGTGACTATGGTAGATGGCATTAGATATAAGTAGTCTGGGGGGACAGAAGAAATAGGCCCATTCTCTGGCCCCAATTTATCTAGCTCTGTCAGCCCTTAAAAATCCTGAAAGAACAAGGTAAGGGGGCCGAGCCCGTGGCGCACTCGGGAGAGTGCGGCGCTGTGATCGCAGCAGTGCTCCCGCTGCGGGTTCGGATCCTATATAGGGATGACCGGTGCGCTCCCAGCGCTCACTGGCTGAGCGCGGTGCAGCCGGTCTCAAAAAGGACAAAAAAAAAAGAACGAGGTAAGGGGGTAAGGGAGGCTGGGGAACACCTCCTTCTCACTTCACCTCCTCCTCCCCCAATACAGAATGGCAACTCACATTCTAGCTTGTCTTCTGGTCGGCCACCCTCCAGAAGGGAAAAGTAGCAGGAGACATCACTAAGACACACCACATCTGGTTAAAAATAGTACAGCAGATCTGATGTCAGGACACCCTCCACTCTGGCTCTTCTCTTCTCCTTTGTTTGTTCCAACTCTCCCCTTTAACTTTCCCTACTCTAGCTCCTAGACCAGCCTGACCACCCTCCACAGTCTCTCCCCCAAAATGCCCACAATATGTGACTCAATTCAACTCTCATGCCCAAACCCACACTAATCTGACTTTTCATTTGGAGGCCCAGCCCACTCCTAACTGCTATACCATACCTTTTCTCACAGTCTCATCTGAATGATCAGTCTGGAAGGATTGAAACAGTGCCCGGCTTAGGTGACTGGGAATATTATCCACTTCCAGATAGATTTTCAGGAATTGCTGGAATCCTTCATACCCGACAGCCTATGATGAGAGTGACCATTACCCTGGGGAGTCTGCAGGGTGGGAGCTGGGTACTGAAGAATTGAGAATAGCGGGGACAGAGACTGTAAGTACAAAGCTGAGAAGCAGCTGAGGCAGGAGTATAGTTTCTTGCACCAAGTCCTGAGTTAATAGAATCTCTTGTTTTGTCCTAAAGCAATGGCTGCAGTGACAATGGATACTGATTTATCCATACTGATACTGATAGTGAAGGTTGGGCCCAGAATAATCCATGGAAGCTGGGGGATCCCAATGGAGTAGCAAAAACAAGATGGAAGGAGTTGGTCAAGAAGAGAATTTCCCAGCTGCCACTCACATCTCCTTGGAGATATTTAGCCATCTCACCATCCTCGAAGAGCTTTAGGACATCACTGACTTTTTTGGTAGAGTCTAGGGTGCGAAGAGAGTAAAAGCAGAACATTAGTCCAGCTTGGCTCTCTGTGCCTTCTGCCAGAGTCCCACCCAGACATCCAGCAGGAAAAAAATATTTAAATGAGATGAAGAAAGAAGAAATTCCAAGAAGAAACACAGAAATACAGAATGGAAAACATTTCAGATCCTCCAGTGTGGTACCACTATTTACTCCTTTTAAAAAAAAAAAAAAAAGATGACCGGTAAGGGGATCTTAACCCTTGACTTGGTGTTGTCAGCACCACACTCTCCCAAGTGAGCGAACCAGCCATCCCTATATGGGATCCGAACCCGGGGCCTTGGTGTTATCAGCACCACACTTTCCCGAGTGAGCCACGGGCTGGCCCTTACTCCTTTTCTTTGAGACCTGGAGCCAGCTGTCAAGGTACAGAGAAGGTTGGTAGAGAGCTCAGACCTCAGGCATATCCCCATGTCCCTCTCCTCCCTTTTCCAGTCATAGGAACAGACTGGCTCAAGACCACTGGGGGAACTGGGGGAAATGTGGGGTGGGGGGAACTGGGGGAAGTGTGTGTGTGTGTGTGTGTGATGAGAAGGAGGAGGGAGTCCCCGGGGTAGGGTCTCCAGAACTGGAGGGCTGGGAGGAAGACTCACATTCCATGTATTTTTGCAACTGGGCAAAATCACTGGGGCTTATTAGGCCCCTCTCCTTGGCCATCTTTCTGTTTTTCTTAAGGATGGCCACAAAGAGAGCGTCGTAGTAATACTTCCGGTGCTTGGATCTCTGCAGAGGGTAGACCTGGAGGAAGATGACAAGAGCTTGCCGTGGGAAGAGCCAGCTGTCTGCATCTCTTTCCTTCTGTCTGCTCCATTCAGTCTCTACTCCCACTATTCTTTCTCTCTTTTTAAATTTCTTTTTCTTTTGTCAAAGACAAGGATAAGTGAACCCAGTATTATTTCTGTTCTTTCCTTGTCTCTGAGTCCCTCCCTAAATCTCTTCCTTTCCCTGTGTCCCTCTCTCCTGTGTCTCTGCTCTCCCTGACAGTGTCTGCCTTCTGTCTCTGTTTTCTCTGACTCATCTCTGACTTTCTCTCCTCCATTTCTGGATCCTTTTCTGCCCTCTGACTTCTCACCCATTCTGTCTTGATTCATCTGACCACCTCCTCCTCTACCCCGGCTTTCACAGTCTGTATATGTTTCTGTGAGTGTCCCTCGCCTGTTTCTGCGTCTTCTCCTGCTACCCTCAATCTCTGCAGTCTCTCCCATCTCGGGTCCCCGCAGTCTCAGCCCTCCGGTGCTGCTTACTGCTTTAGCGCGCCTCCCGGGCCACGACCCCATCTTGCTCCGCCTCCAGCCCCAGCCCGCAGCGCCGCTTAGCCACCTACTCCCCGAGCCACCCACGCCCCGCAACGACCTCTAGCGCTTCTGACGCGCGACACACAACCAGCTCTGGCCGGGTCCCTATCCCCGGCCCCGGTTTGCTTGCGGAGCTCCACTGGGGAAGGGCGGGGGACCCAGGCGCGCGGGGTGGGGAGGAGGTGGGGGAGGAAGGCTCTGGGCACCCGCCTGGTTTCCCAGTGCCGGGCGGGTGGAGCAGAGTGCCGGAGTCTGGGATGCCGGGGTCTTCCTTCCACCCTACTAGGTTAGAAGTGTTTAGGGAGCCCCAACTTTCGGCTATCGGACCCAGGGACCAAAGAGGAGCTATCACATCACGTGGATACTGCCGACCACTGGCCTAGAGACCAAGTCACCGAGGTTAACTTGCCTGGATGATTCAATAACAATAATAACTATAATATACTTACTTTAGTACAGTACAGCACAGTTTGGGAGTCAAACAGAACTAGGACCAGTCATATCTGGGTTCCATTCTTAGCTCTGTTACCACTGTTACTTTACAAGTTACATATGTAAAATGGAGAGAATGATACCTATCTTTCACAGTTATAGGGCTTAAGTAAAGTAATAGATGAAAAGTGCCTAGCATATATGCCTGGCGTATAGGAGGCCTAAAGAAATGGTAGTTATTATTGTATTAACAATTAAAATCAAATCCTGCAAGACAGGAAATTATTGGTATAGCAATTCTACAGATGAAGAAACTGGACCCAAAAAAGAGAGAGGGGAAGAAAGACACTGGAGCTCAGAGAGGCTGTGACTTCTTAGGCAGCTGATAAGTGGAAAAGCCGAGGCTCCAGCCAACTCCTTGCCTCAACTGAAATGTCAGCTCCTCCAAGAGACCTTCCCTAATCACTCCATCTGAAAGTAGCCCCCCTCCGTTGGACAGTACTCTCCTTTTTTGCTTCACAGAACTTATCAAAAGTAGAAATTATCTTCCTTATTTATTTGCTTCTTTTTTTATCGTTTGTCCTCCACCAAAATGTAAGTCCCATAAGGGCAGGAACTTCTCAATTTTGTTCACCATTGGATCTCCAGTATCTAAAACAGTGCCCAGGATGTAATGGGTGCTCAATATTCGTTGTACAAATGTTGTGTACAGCTGGGGAGTCATATTTTGGGACTATTAATCCAAGTATGGTTAAATGGGATGCCAGAGTGTCATGGTGGACTATGAGATAATTTGGAACACATATGGTAGGTGCTAAATAAATATTTGTTAAATAATGAATGATGCTAAAAAGCATTTATTGAGGTGCTCCATCAAATATTCTGACCTCCATCAACTCATTAGGGCTTGTTGGGTCAGGCTCAGGGAGACAGAGCCAACAAGAATAACCCAGCTCCTTTCCTTTCTGATGGTGCAAGAACCTTCTTTGCAGCCTGTCCTTGGGATATCTGTGCTGTCTACCTCTATGCAGCACACCATTCCTGTTCTAGGGGCTCTCTGGGAACATTTAGAAGGAAGTTCTGAGACACTGACATCCTGGAGAAAGGACTCTGCCCATCTGGCCCTTTTCAATGACTATAATCTAACTCCAACTTCTGCTGCCAACAGATCTAATGAATATATAACAGTCTTATGGCTAATGGGGCCTGTATGGCTTAATTACCCTCTCTGATTACCCTCTAGGGATTCTTAGATAACACCAAAGTTCTAGGAAATGTAATCTGAGGGAGAAAGTGACAGGGAAAGAGCAAACAAAGAATGACGAAAAAGACAGAGGGCAGGACACCTCCCCTGTCTTTCTTTTCACAATAACCCTACTCTTTTTTGCCCCTTCCTAGCTCCCCAGGTCTTAAACTTGGAGAAGTAGTAGAGTATATAGTATATAGAGGTTAAGAGAATGGACTTTCTTATTAGACAGTCATGGATTAGACTCCTAGCCCTTATATGGTCATTTCACTTCCCTGAACTTCAGTTTTTTCATTGTTAAAATTGGTACCTATAGAAATCAGTCACAATGTGGGGATTAAATAAGATAATATGTGCAATATACTTAGCAAACTGCATGGCACAGAGTAAGAACTCAATGAACATTAGCTATTGGTTAAATGTGTCACCCAAAAGTTCACGTACTGGAAACTTGATCTCCACTGTAACAGTGTTAAGAGGGTGGGAAATCCAATTATGGTATTTGAAAGGTGAGGCCTTTAAGATGTCAATAGATTTCAAGGACCTTGCCCTAGTGAATGAACAATCCATTACTCCATGGAGTAATGGGTTGATGGTTTAATGGGTGGTCATGGGTGTGGTTCTGACGGCTTTATAAAGACAGCGATTGAGACTTAATTCTCTCTTGCTCAGCTCATTTCTCTCCCCACAGTGAAACCCTGAGTTGCTGTGGAGAGTCACCACCAAGAACAAGGCCCTCACCAGATGTGCCCCCGGACTGTAGACTTCCTAGCTTCCCAAACTGTAAGAAATTAATTTCATTTCTTTATACATTACTCAGTTTCAGGTATTCTGTTATAAGCAACAGAAATGGGCTAATACAGCTATTATCATTCTTATACAAGGGTGGTACCTAGAAAAACATATCTGGAGATTAGGAAAAATGGTATCTTTGAGCCAGGAAGGCATAAATTCTAGGGACTCCCAGCAACAGTGAAGCCCAGTTGGACACCTTCCCTTCCTGTTATATATGTCAGATGCAGACATGTAGTATCAGGCTCCTGCTCTTTGACTCTGGGAGGATGATGAGGTGGCTAGAAACTAGACTGTCAGGGTACAAGGACATCCCTTGGCTGGGACCTTGGACATAAGGGCTGCTGGGATAGTTCAGTTGGACTCCTGACTTCTCTCATTGAAAGTGTGGCTGCCCCTGGAGCTGAAGGGCAGCAAACTGCAGGATCCTGGGGACTTAAAGACCTGGAACAAGTCCAATTTTGTCCTCCAACTCCATCCGAACCCTGAGGCTATAACCTGGACTAGTCCAGGCGAATGCCAGGGCTGGGAAGGTGAGGTCTGCTCCCTGCCCCGCCTGCCAGCTATTTGTGACTCATTCTTCCTTTCCCTCCTCTGGTTTCCCTGCCAGCCCCTACCAACTTGGGGTGAGAAAGGAAGAGGTTGACTTGGAGGCAGAGAATCCTAGAACATCCTCAGAGCTGGGAGTCGCCAACTCATATTTTACACAGGAGGAAACTGAGGCCCAGAGAGAGAGTGACTCTCTCAGGGTCACATCCAGACTTGACTTGAGACACCCTGTCCTTAGCCATTCCACTAAATCTTAGTGCCTCTAGTTCTCTAGATTTAATTTTAAACACCAAATACTAAAATTGCTGGTAACCAAAAGATAAATATTATTTCCAAAGCCAGTGCTAACATTTAAAGTTTCCTTTTTCACTTCAGCATTCATTGCTGACATTCCAAATCATGTAAGTTGACGATTACTCAAGAATTAGCTATGCCCCCAGAACATTCAAGCTGTCCAGCAAGAAACCCCAAGGAGTAGGCCCAGGCCTGGTTACCTGGACTTCTGACTCCCTTAACAACACCAGGAGTGTATCTTCTTTCCCAGGACTGAGGGAGGGTCTATTCTTCCTTGCCCCTGAGAGGGAATCATTTGGCTTGAAGCCTCAAAATTCATTAAACCTCCAGAGACATCGCAGATTGTAGTGTTGCCTGGTAAAGGGGGTGGTATGTGTGTGTGCCTGTGTGTGTGTGGAGGGTGTCATTGCGTAGTACAGGAGGAAGTTACAATGTTGGCATGGTTGGGGGATGTGGGCTTGTATGTTCTGAGGCTGAGAGATGCCCAATAACATTTGCATTTCCTCCTCATTAAAGCTCATTTCTCCTATTTAAAGTTGAAAAGTGGGACTCAGACCTAGACATTTTCAGAAACTTCCCAGTGACAGGTGTGGAAAGGATAGGGTGGGAAGTTGGGGACCAGGGGGCCAAAGAACACTTCTCCACCCATGCGGCACTGCGGAGATTCCAAAAGGGACTCCGAGTCGGGTCATTGGGAACCGAGCTTGTCCATCCCTCCGAGTGAGCGGGAGGTATGGAGGGGAAGGTCTGGGGAAATGCTGCCTGGTTCTGGCCCAGCTCTCCCGCCGCCCCCTGCGTCCCGGCGCAAACCCTTCTAGCTACCCGCTCCAGCTGTCACGCTTCCTCCTTCCCGACCCAGCAGCCCTAACCCAGCCCGTGGGGCGTCCCCTCCCGCGGCCCCCGACTGCTCCCATGGGGGAGAGTGGGAGGCGGCGGAGCCTTGTGGGGTCTCTACCTTGCCGGGGTAGGGCGCGCGGTCGGAGCTGAAGCGCCGGCACTGGACCTGGAACCCGGGCTGGGCTGGAGGGGACGGGCCAGGCAGACGCGGCAGTCGCGGGGCCGCCCCTCTCCTGACGACACAGCTGCCGGTAGCAGGATGCCTGGGTCCCCAGTTCCTACCACTAGGCCTCTGTCTCTCTCCCTTGCTCTACCAGCCTCACCACCATCTCTTTGCACCCAAACCTCCACCCTAGAATTAAAGAGAGGGTAGCAGGATGCCTGGGTCCCCAGTTCCTACCACTAGGCCTCTGTCTCTCTCCCTTGCTCTACCAGCCTCACCACCATCTCTTTGCACCCAAACCTCCACCCTAGAATTAAAGAGAGGGTAGCAGGATGCCTGGGTCCCCAGTTCCTACCACTAGGCCTCTGTCTCTCTCCCTTGCTCTACCAGCCTCACCACCATCTCTTTGCACCCAAACCTCCACCCTAGAATTAAAGAGAGGGTAGCAGGATGCCTGGGTCCCCAGTTCCTACCACTAGGCCTCTGTCTCTCTCCCTTGCTCTACCAGCCTCACCACCATCTCTTTGCACCCAAACCTCCACCCTAGAATTAAAGAGAGGGTAGCAGGATGCCTGGGTCCCCAGTTCCTACCACTAGGCCTCTGTCTCTCTCCCTTGCTCTACCAGCCTCACCACCATCTCTTTGCACCCAAACCTCCACCCTAGAATTAAAGAGAGGGTAGCAGGATGCCTGGGTCCCCAGTTCCTACCACTAGGCCTCTGTCTCTCTCCCTTGCTCTACCAGCCTCACCACCATCTGAGGCTGGTAGAGCAAGGGAGAGAGACAGAGGCCTAGTGGTAGGAACTGGGGACCCAGGCATCCTGCTACCTGGCCCCACCCCAACTCCTACCTAGCTCCCTCCTACCCTTCACTGAAGTAGGGCAGAGGAACAAAGCCTTGGGTTCCTGGAATTGTCGCTCATACACCTGGGAGTGGAAAAGAGGGGGAGGGGAGACCTCTGACTGGAAGGGTATAGGTATGTGTTGTGTGTATATGTACACACATACTCTACACATATACACATAATATATACATATTTTTGGTGGGTAAAGCCCTGGCCAAAAGTAGGGGGTGAAAGGAGATCCTTTCCGCTTCGGCCTTTAAACTGTTCTGAAGTTGTCAAGGCTCTTGGGGCAGCATGGATGGTGGTGAGGCTGGTAGAGCAAGGGAGAGAGACAGAGGCCTAGTGGTAGGAACTGGGGACCCAGGCATCCTGCTACCTGGCCCCACCCCAACTCCTGCCTAGCTCCCTCCTACCCTTCACTGAAGTAGGGCAGAGGAACAAAGCCTTGGGTTCCTGGAATTGTCCCTCATACACCTGGGAGTGGAAAAGAGGGGGAGGGGAGACCTCTGACTGGAAGGGTATAGGTATGTGTATGTGTTGTGTGTATATGTACACACATACTCTACACATATACACATAATATATACATATTTTTGGTGGGGGTTGGAGAGGAAAGGGAATGAATACACGAGGCCCTCTAGTGGAAACAGAGGGATCTAAGCGGTTCTTTATTCAAGACAAGTTTGTTGGAAGACACTCCTCCACTTTTACCAAAAATATTCCTGCAGAGTAATAAGGTTTAGGAGTATTGTTGTTGCATCTTAATTAGAGAGCTGGAGCAGGTGTTGGAGAGGGTCTGTTTCTCTACTCCTGTGTCCCCTCCAGGTCTCACCCTCTGATCACCAATCTTAAAAAAATAAGGGCCCTGCCACTCCCCATCCTTCATTCTTACACTATTTTCTTCACCGTTAGCAAAGCTTCCTCTTCCCCTCCTATATGAACTCCTCAGTCATAATCAACACTTTTTTTTTTTTTTTTGAAAAAAGATGACCGGTAAGGGGATCTTAACCCTTGACTTGGAGTTGTCAGCACCACGCTCAGCCAGCGAGCCAACCAGCCATCCCTATATGGGATCCGAACCCGGGGCCTTGGTGTTATCAGCACCGCACTCTCCCGAGTGAGCCACAGGCCGGCCCCATAATCAACACTTTTGAAGGCCTACTATATACCAGGTCCTGTACTTAGTTCTGCAGGACAGGCAAAGACAGCCCAGTTTAGGGACTGCACCGAAGAGTGGCTCGATGTGTGTGTAAAGCCTCCCTGCTCTGAACCACCCTAAACAAACACACAATATAAGTAAGAGTAGGTCCCTTAAGCCCTATTCTAATCAGTTTTCTGCCCTTGAACCCCTCATCTAGAAATCCTGGAATGAAACTAATCCTCAAGGCACTCAGCTTTCTTTACAAATAACACTTGAAGTGATACCACTCTATGTATAACCTGTGTTTCTCACCCCATCATCTTCATATATGTCCCTACATAAAGTTAAAGACACTCCTTTGAAGACATATTTTGGGACTTCAAACTGGGGTATGAGGCTATTTCTCTAATAAAGAATAAAGTGGACTCATTCTTACACTAGGTTTCTTTGTATCTTCTTTAGGATCTGTGCTTCATCATACCCCAAGTCAGTTACTGGTGGAGGTGGGGGAAGAAAGGCCAAGAAACATCTAAGGAGGAGGCGTCGAATGCCTACAGTTACAGGTGCTTATTTCTTTAATCAACCACATCATAAAAATCAGAAAGAAAGAAACCACAATGAACAAAGGGAAAGGAAAAAACAACAGCTACTCTCCCCAGCCTCTTTTTTCCCCTCTCTTCCTCCTCAGGGTGGAGGGGCCACATCCGGGGCCCAGGGCTGGGTACCAGGCTGGTCTACTAAACTGACAATTGAGTTTCACTTCCTGTCAAATCGGAGCTGGGCAGGATGTCTGAGGGTATGGTGGGGAGCCTAGTGAACAGGGACCACTTTAGGACTCCACCTTGCAGAAAGGTCCATTGAGCAGCCCATTTGGAAGCTGCAAAGACAACTCCTCAGGTAGTTCAGTCAAGACCAATGTATCTCACTAGTTCTTAGAGGCTTCATCCCACAGTCTCACTTCTTCTTATCCCTAGTAAAAAGGCTAAAGACAGGATGCTAGATGGGGCAGGACTGAAGTACAATTGGTAAAAGAGCAGGTGTTAAGGATAGCACTGTCAGAACACTTGCAATAACTGTATATTGTATGCAAATAGTTCTTAAATTAGTCTTTTTGAGACGTTCTGAGCTGGGCCTCTAGTGGAAGTCAAGGAGATGGAGAAGGCAAACTGGTCACAAGAAAACTTCTGAGGCTTAATTTGTCTTATAAAGGTCCTAGTCAGCCATTGCTCTGTTTTTTTGTTTTTTTGTTTTTTTTTTTTTTTTAGTGGGGGGCATTCTGCCTAGCGTTGGAGATAGTCACTAACATTTACCACCTCTCCTCCGTGTTTCCAGGGGTACTGATGGACATTAACCTAAGCCGAAGTGGGGGATATGAAGGAAGGTAAAAGGTTGATAAGGAAAAGCCAATATGGAGGTGGAGCAGGGAAGAGCCGACACCTGAGGAGAGGAACCTTCAACCAGCCCCACCCAGGCTGTAGGGGAACAAGTTTAACAGGATTTAGCCCTGGAGGAACAAAAGTTGCTGAAAGGAGCAGGGGAGGGTGTACATTTGGGTTTCTTTGAAGAATAGCAAGGGACAGGGCAGGGCAGGATTAGAAAGGGAGTGACCTTACGGCCCGGATTATTGGCGAGTTGCCCAGTTTTCCATCCCCAGCGCCCGGAGGCTTGGACGAGGTTAATGAGAATACTAACTGGGTCCGCCCAGAAGCCTTCACCCTGTTCTCCGATCCTGAGGCCCAGCCAGAGGAGGCTCCGGGGGTAGGAGGCTGGAGCAAAAAGTGACTTGCGCCCTCGTCACTTCGCTGCCGAATCCGCTGGGCAGCCCGCCCGATCCGGCCCGCCACCACCTCGGCCATGGAAACCGCCGGCAACCCTGAGGCTGCGGGGACAGGTGACCGACCCGCAGAGCCCTCCGCCTTGCACGCCTCTCTCGCGGGTCTCTCTATCCAGAGAGCTGAGCTGGGCGACCGAGGCCCATCGGCACGCGAATTCGACCTAGCCACCTCCTTAGAGAGGGTTAGTTGGGATCTTTCACTTGCCCCCAGTAACATTCGTGCGGCCCAGTGCGTTCCTGGAGTTTGCCTGCCCCATGTCACCAAGACGCCCTGGGACCTGGGTACAGGCCATAGCCTGCATATTCTTCCTTTCCTCATTTATCAGCCCCCTTTCCGGGTACGTCCTTTGCCCTCACAGGTACCGGACGTACGGAGTGCCTGGGATGAGAGGGACTGTGCCTCAAAACTTCTCTCGGCACCCAGAGGACTGTTTACACGTAGTAGGCGCTCAATAATGGTATCGGTGGCAGTAAAAGAGCCCACGGCTTTATTTTACTATTTCAGCTTCTCCTCTCCGCTTCCTCCTCCGCCTCCGCCCACGAAATAGTGCACTCTCCCTTTAAGACTAAAATGGTGGCTTGCTACGTTCAGGACTCCACTTCCGGTGGGGAGGGGGGCGGGACCCCAGCCCCCTCGCGCCGGAAGTGGTTTGCGTTTTCAAGATGGCGACTCCCTATGTAACTGACGAGACCGGCGGTGAGTGCGGGACGCGCGGAGCCGCTTCTTCCCGGGCTCACGGGGCAGGGGTTCGGACGTAGAAAGGGGCCTGTGCCCCGCCCATCCCGGGGCCCCTCCTTTGCCCCGCCCCCCGGACCGCCTTCCCCATTCATTCTCTCCTACGGGGTATCACCTGCGCCCCCTTCTGGTCTCGTGTTTGGGGGTCTTTGCTTCCGGTCACCCAAATCCTGGGGTCCTTCAATGCTGGTCCCTGCTCCAGGACCCTCACGAGCCCTTAGCTTTTCTCCAGCAGTTTGAACACCCATATTTCTTTTGGGTTCTCTAGCCATAGGAGCTCCTACACTCTCAGCTCCCTCTAATTCCTGCCTTCCTCCTCTTCCCCTCCCCCATCTCTTAGGTATACTTGCTCTCTTCCCTACCCCGGCCCTGTTTTCACTCTTTCTCTAAGCTGTATCTGCTGAAGATCTTCTCATTGCTACATAGTGCTTATTCCACTCTCCCTCATCTTCATTTGTTGGGTCACTGAGGTCCAGAGATGTGAGAGGAAGAGGAACCTAATTCAACTTTCAGCTTAAGTTTTCTCCTTGATGGCTCCACCCTTCTCCACCTTCTCCGGTGATGATGTTAGGGATTGAGGGGTTATACAGGAAGGTGTTTAGTGGCCTTTCTCCCAAACCCTTTAACAAGTTGATAAGAACCCACTGTTGCTTCTGGCTAGAGATGCTGAAGTGTCTGCTGTGTATGTGAGGTGTATGTGTTGGAAACAGAATCAAGGCTTTCTTTTCTTTCTTTTTTTTTTTTTTAAAAAAAGATGACGGGTAAGGGGATCTTAACCCCTGGCTTGGTGTTATCAGCACCATGCTCAGCCAGTGAGCCAACCGGCCATCCCTACATAGGATCCGAACCCGTGGATTTGGTGTCATCAGCACCGCACTTTCCCGAGTGAGCCACGGGCCGGCCCTAGAATCAAGGCTTTCATCATGGTTTTGTCGCATTCTAATTGTGTCATTTTTAGAAAAATGTACATAGTAATAATATCCACCGAATGATGATCAAATTATATGTGAAAGCAATTTGTAAAATACTGTGCAAGGTGTTTGTTTTTGTAGCCCTCATTGCGTGTGTCATCTTCTGTAGAAGTGACACTGTGTGTGATGTGGTACGCGCAATCTGCTTTAAAATGTGCTGTTTCTGCTTATTTTGCTGCTTTCCGTGTTCTTTCTACCTCAGCCTACCTATCTTATGGTACCTAATGACAACCCGGGTCTCTGCTCCTTCTCCCCACCCTCACATTTCAGGGTGGTACCATATCTTTCCTGCTGCTCTCTACCCAGCAGGTTCTTCTTTAACTAGCAACTTTTAAAGTGTGTTTTAAAAATGTCTTCTAGAACGTTTCTCTTTACTCTTAACTGTTTTCTTTATCCTAACTTAATGAAAATCCAGATATCACATCTCATCCTACCTTGCTACCAGGAGGTATTTTCTGTCCCGTATGACTATGGGAGAGAAGAAGGAATAGACTGCTTTTTACTTTCCTTTACTTCTTCCAGGTCATTGATCTACCACTGCAACTCTAATCTTTGTAGAAGATACTGCCATGCAATTATAGCAGTTTCTCTAAAACTTACTGCCCACAAGTACCCAGACCTCTCATGTCAAATTTTTTCTCCACTTTGTTTTTGCTATTGTTTTCAGTGTCTCCAGCACCTTTAGAATAATACTCTGATTTCATAGTTCTCAGCATGAGACCTTTGACTATCTTTCGTATTATTATTTTTTTTTTAAAAAGATGACTGGTAAGGGGATCTTAACCCTTGGCTTGGTGTTGTCAGCACCACGCTCAGCCAGTGAGCAAACCAGCCATCCCTATATGGGATCTGAACCCGGGGCCTTGGTGTTATCAGCACCGCACTCTCCCAAGTGAGCCACGGGCCGGCCCATCTTTTGTATTTTCAAACCAGCTGCACATTAGAATCCCTACAGTCTGGACCTTACCTATGACACTGCTTTCTTTTCAGGTGCTCCCCATCACTTTAGTTTCCTTACCAGTCACCTTTTTCGCTACCTCAAACCCACAGAATCAGCTTTTTGACCTCCTTAGGTTTTTTAGTTCTTTTTTTTTTTTTGTCAGCTGGCCAGTGTAGGGATCCAAACCCTTGACCTTGTTGTTATCAGCACCACACTCTACTAACTGAGCCTACAGGCTAGCCCTAGTTCTCTAGTTCTTTTTTTTTTTTTTTTTTAAAGATGACCGGTAAGGGGATCTTAACCCTTGACTTGTTGTTGTCAGCATCACACTCTCCCAAGTGAACCACAGGCCGGCCCCTTCTAGTTCTCTAGTTCTTAACCCTTCCCATTTCTTTGAGTCTACCAGTCCCTTATGGCTAGCTAGACCTCTATGACCAGCCACTTTGATACTATCTTCATTGCTTTCTTCATTCATTTTGATCATCTATACTAAGTAAGCACTTCTGTTATCTTTTTTTCCTTTGTTTTTTGGCACCTGGCCAGTATAAGGATCTGAACCCTTGACGTTGGTGTTACAACACAGCTGTCTAACCAAAATGAACTAACCCAAATAAGCTAACCAGCCAGCGCACTTCTGTTATCTTGAATCATACCTATCAACTAGTTTTCTTGTCTTCTGCTTCTAGGCCACAGAACATTGCTAGAGAAAAAGCACAGAAAAACTAGCAGGTTCAGTGTAATATAACTTGGTGTTAATTTCTGCCAAGATCACGGCTTCTCTCCAGTTCTTTTTTCCTGTTTTTCTTACATTCTTTCATGGCTATTTTCCTAAACTTTTCCAGCTCTCTGTAATCCTCCCTTTTAATTCTCTATCTTGTGGCAGATGACCTCACTTTCTTTTCCACTGAAAAATTAAGGCCTATCCTTTCTGTTTCTTTCCTGTTTACAGCCAGATTTCTTGAATATCAGGCCTACCAGTTCCATTTCCTCACTGCTTTCTTGTTTTTTAACTCTTTCCAGTCATTATTTCTAGCACCACCCTCCCTCCTCTAATGTCCCCCCCCCCCCCCCCCCCCCCCCCCCCCCCCCCCCCCCCCCCCCCCCCCCCCCCCCCCCCCCCCCCCCCCCCCCCCCCCCCCCCCCCCCCCCCCCC